ATGTTCTTTATACTATTTGAAGAGGCTCTGAATATATTTCTTTCTTTTATTTTGGAGCGGGGGGGAGAGGGAGAGGGAGAATTTTAAGCAGGCTCCACACCCAGTACAGGGCCAGACATGAGGCTCAATCTCACAATCCTGAGATCATGACCTGAGCCAAAATCAAGAGTTAAATGTTTAACTGACTGAGCCACCCAGGCACCCCTGAATATATTTCTTTCTAAAGTAAGAAAGAAACTTTACATGTAAAAGATGTAAAATGGTAGCATTCAAAGTTGGTGGTATTGGGCAGCCTGGGTGGCTCAACGGTTTGGCGCTGTCTTCAGCCCAGGGCCTGATCCTGGAGACCCAGGATCGAGTCCCGCATCAGACTCCCTGCATGGAGCCTGCTTCTCCCTCTGCCTCTATCTCTGCCTCTCTCTCTCTCTCTCATGAATAAATAAATAAATAAAATCTTCAAAAAAAAAAAAAAACAAAGTTGGTGGTATGTTTTCATGATTTTCCTATGCATGATAAACAACAGGTATAACAAATACTGCTTTTTGTTGTTGCTTGTAATCTTTATCGTAGCAAGAAAGAAAAATGTAACTTAGAAATGATAAAAATGAATGATTGTCTTAGCTTTCTCAGTTGGAGAATATGATGCTAAGGCACATTTATATTTATTATTTAACATGTACCTATGTAATCTGTTAGATAAAATAGTTCTATTATTAAAAATTGCCATAATGGGATTTTTATTTATGTTGATATGTTTGAGTGCCTAATAAATTTAAATTATTAGGGACACCTGGGTGGCTCAGTGGTTGAGCGCCTGCCTTTGGAGTTTAAAATTCATGCATTTGGCTTAGGGCATGATCCTGGGATTGAGTCCCATATCATCAGCCCCTCACAGGGAGCCTACTTCTTCGTCTGCTTATGTCTCTGCTTCTCTGTGTCTCTCATAAACAAATAAATAAAATAATAATAAATAAATTTAAGTTACTAGACAAGATACAGAAAGATTTATTAATGAAACTTATTTTACCATTATACTCCCTCTTCACTCTTCCCATTCTCTCCTCCTCATCCCTCCTTTTTCTACACACACATTAAAAGGGGGCTTAAACGTCTCAACCAAGCAGGAAATCATGGGAATTACGGAGTATGTCCATCTTTGTATTTTATGAGTATATCAGTTATATGTATATATGTATTTTTGAGTTTTTGATTTAGGAATTTTTTTCATGAGATTTTACCATACATATTCTGATATAATCATTTCATGATTGCCTTTATGTCAGTAAACTTTTTTTATAATACCTTATTTTTTTTTAAAAAAGGACTGTCAAGTATCACGTAGTTAGAGGGTTCTTTAATTATTTACCTATTTCTTTTTCTGTTGAAAGTTTGTTTTGAGTTTTTACAATTAAATTGTTAACCATGAACATAAAATCTGTTAACCCATGAACATCATAAAATGCATAAAGGCATACATCGTTTTTGTGCTTTGCTTTATTGTATTTTGCAGATACTGCATTTTTCTTTACAACTTAAAGGTTTGTAGCAACCATGGATGTGTTGAGCAAGTATATATGTGCAAGTCTGTTTTTCTAGTAGCATTAGTTCACTTCTGTGTCTTGCAGATTTCAAGCTTTTTCATTATTATTCTAATTATCTGTGATTTCTGAAAGCTCAGAATATGGTTAGCATTTATAAGTAATAAAGTATTTTTTATTTAAGGTACTTGTATGTTTTTTTATCTGATTCTGTTGGCACACTTAACAGATTACAATTTAGTGTAAAAATGACTTTTATATGCATTGGGAAGCAAAAAGTCATTGTACGTGCTTGATTTTCATACTTGCTTTATTGTGGTAGTCTGGAATTGAACCCTTCAGTACCTTCAAAAGGTATGCCTTCATAGCTTTGTGCATTTGTATGAATGTTTTTGTAAAATAGATATAAATATAATTAGTACAGAGTTTGTGAATTTTAAATATTGATATATTCCTCCTTTTTGTCTTCCAAAAATGTTTTAAAAGTTTATACCACTACCTGTAGCATGTTCCAAACTCTTGCCAGTACTAGATCATACCAGTATTTTGTATTTTTTGCCAATTTAATTGGTAAACAATGATATCTTCTTTTAATTTTATTTTCCTAATCACCAGTAAGGTTGAACATCTTTGAATAGAATTTTTTGATATTTCTTATTGTTTAGAATATTTATCAGTTTTGCTCATTTGTATAATATATGTTGTAATAAAACATAAAGCATTTACCATTTTAACCATTTTTTAAGTATACCCTGGTGTTGAGTACATGCATATTTTTGCACAACCATTATCACTGTTCATCTCCAGAACTTTTTCATCATCCCATATTGAAATGCTGTACCCATTAAATGATAACTGCTCAATCCCTAGTCTGCCAGGCCCTGTAGCCACCATTTTACATAAGTTTGACTACTTACTCTATATATTTCATTTAAGTGTAATCATATGATATTCATCCTTTTGTGACTGGCTTATTTCACTTAGCATCAAGTCTTCAAGGTTCATCTGTGTTACAGCATATATTAGAATTTGTTTCCCTTTGAGTGGTGAATAATATTTCACTCTTTACATATGTCACATTTTGTGTATCCATTCAACTACTGATAGACATTTGGGTTGTTTCTACCTTTTGGCTATTGTGGATGAGGTCTTTGAGCTGGCATGTTCCAGTATTTCTTTCTGTCCCTGCTTTTAACTTTTCTAAGTATATATCCATACTTGGAATTGCTGTTCTATATTTTACTATTTGAAGAATCATTATACTGTTTTCCATAGTGGCTGTACTGTTTTGCTTTTTGTACCAGTCATGCTCGTTGGTTCTCATTTCTCCATATCCTTGCCAACATTTGTTATTTGTTTCATTTTGCTTTTTATAATAGCCATCCTCGTGGGTGTGAAGCCGTATATCATTTGAGTTTGATTTACATTTGGTTTGATTTACATTTCTCTAATAATTAGTGATGTTGACCACATCTTTTCATTTGCTTATTTTTCTATTGTATATATTTTTTGGACTAATGTCTATTTAGGTTCTTTGTTTACTTCTTAATCTGGTTGCTTGCTTTTTGTTGTTAATTTTTCTCATTTTTAAAGGCCCCTCCTTAATGTTTGCTTACTTGAAGGCGTTGTCTCAGGCCTCAACTAGGTCTAGTACAGATAGTAAATCAGTGATAGATATTGATTCTTCAAAGGTAATAATAGTAACTGGAAAAATACAATACAGAGAAGAGAGCATATTTAACAGGAGTGATGGGGTGGTATTTGAGGTAAATCTTCAAAGAAAGTCAGGTACTTATAGAATGAGGGAAAACATTCCAGTTAGAGAATGTTTTCCCTCATTCTATAGAGGACACAGTTACTTTTATTGCATATTTACAGAAAGTAGTTCAGTTTGGCTTATTTGTTATTGGGAGTATACACTGGCATAGTTTGTGTGTGGAGAGGGAGAAGATAATTTGGCAGCAGCTATAAAAAATACAGATGTTCTTTTATCCAGCAACTTATAGGAGCTTATCCTATAGTTATATTTGTAGAAATAGCGGTAGTATTGTTGCAGTGGCATAAAACTAGAGACAGAGTATTGATCAGTAGGGAATTAGCCTTTGAAAAGGAGGTACAGAAAGCATATATAATCTTATTTGAGGGTAGGGTGAGTACATAGATTATTTCTGGAAGAATAACCAAGAACTGTTGACTGTAGTTTCACTCTAGTGTGGGTTATGACATGGGGAAAAATGTTCACTTGTTTTGTTTTCTTTCTTCCAAGGACATTAAAAAAAGAGAAAAGTGTATTTTTAAAAGCCTTTAGAGTTTAAAATTCATAGCTCTGGATTCTTTCCAGTATTTAATGCCATCTCTGCATAACTAATATTTGAATTCAAGGGTGGGAAGATGGAGGCAAGGTGAGAAGATGAAATAAATTTTTGTCATCTAAACAATAAACAGATTATGGGTTGAAATGTTTTTATTTTTTAATCTTTATCCCTGAGGGATTTCTTGAGAATGTTTGTAAAAATAAGCATTCACAACACTACATACCAGAGTTAAAATGAGTTAGGCAAATGAGTAATGCCTTTCATAAATTAATTTACAAAAATATTAAGAATACATTTAGGAATGACTAGAACAGGAATTTTCAATAGTCAAAATTAACTTGACCTTATATTTTTGTAAAATTTGGCCACAAATTTGTGGCTTTTAAAGGACTTAACTAAATGAGAAGTTCTCATTTTTGTAAGATACCGTAGCAAGAGTAAGCCATTCTCTGATCATTTTGTGACTCCTACCTAATATGTGTTATTGAGTAAAATAATACAAGAATTCATTGGAGCTCCAGGGTAGCTCAGTCAGTTAAGCATCCGACTCTTGATTTTGGCTCAGGTCATGAACTTCGGATTGTGAGATTGAGCCTGGCATCTGGCTCTGCACTGGTGTGGAGCCTGCTTAAGATTCTCTCTTTCCTTCTCCCTCTGTGCCTCTCTCACCCTCTCTCCCTGTCTTAAAATAAGAAAATAATTTCTTAATTAAGTAGACCACGTTTTCACATTTAGATAGAATAAATACATGATGGCTGATAATTATTTTCCTCTCATTTAGGGAATCTATCAAACTTTATTTTTCCACATCAGTATACTTAATGTTAGCAGTTAACTAAAGCAAGATTTCAGTCTTGGAAACTTAACTTTTAAGGCAAAACTGTTAATGCTTTTTCTTTTGTGATTTCAGCAAATTGCTTTTCATTTGTCAATTGAGAGGAACTAGGTGAATAATGGATGTGTTTTACTAAATGAAGGAAATTCACATTATTGTCAGTTCAGTTGCCATTGAAAAAAAGAGAAACACCTGTAGCTCAGACATGACTTGCTAAACACGAGGGAGATTTTTTTCGAATTTTTCAAATAATGGTTTTGTGTTCTGAAATTTTCCCTGTTTAATAACAGTAATTCTTTTTTTTTTCTTAAGGTATGGACTCCGAGAGTTTGTGGTGATTGCCCCTGCTGCAAACCATGATGCAGTTCTCAGTGAATCTAAATGCAATCTTCTTTTGAGTTCTGTGTCTATTGCTTTGGGAAACACTGGCTGGTATGTGGACATTTTGAAAAGCCAAGATAAAGAATTAAACTACTTTTAATTATAATTTATGAAGGAAAATGGTTCTTAAGTTAGATTTTTTAAAAGAAATTCTTAGGATTCCTACTAGTGCATTATTCTTTTGGAATATCATATAGAAGGACAAACTCAAAACCTCTAGTGAGTACATTTCTAAAGGGAAATTTACTGAAATATTCAATGAATATTCGCATGAAGACTAAATTGTACTATTTTTTGTTTTGCTTCCAAATGTTCAGTTTATTTAAATTTTGTTACAAAATCTAATACTCAGACTTGGAAATGGAGCATTGTGTTGTTCGACCTCAATTGAGATTGCCTGTTTCAGGTGACTCAAACGTTTTGCTGCTCTATTTATTGTCTGCAAATGACTGAAAGTGCTGAGAGTTTTGATTTTGGGGTTACAAATAAATTTTAGGGAGTAGGCTTATTTTCATACATGCATATCTGTGAATAAGGATAGGCCCTATAGTCAAGTGATTAAATATTTCACTACCAGTGTTGGTTTGATTTGTATTATTTCATACATGTGAATCAAATTTTATTTTGCCTTTGAAAGGCTAATATGATACCAATGCCAGCAGGCCTGATCCAGACCCAGAGAAAGGGTCCTGGGATGTGTGCAGGATAAAAATAAAACTTGAGCCATTAGGAGTTGAAAGCAGAGTTTATTAAAGGCATAGAGAGAGTGCAGGTATAGGGTATCTGGAAGACTCAGGTAAAGAGGAAGTTTCATCTTTGCTTGGGGTCTGGGGGGTTTTTGTTGACGATCATGGTTTGGCATACATATTCTCTCAGGCATCTGAGAACTGGTTAAAACAAAGATGAGAGCCCAGTTGTTATTCCTTGGAGCCAGGGTGTCTTGGCATGGAGATACCTAGTGCTGGTGGTCTGGAATATGCATATGACACCTTTGTCTGGTCATTCTCACCTGGTCCTTCCTTAGGTGTTATCTATTCTAGAGAAATCATCAACTCTGTATCTCTTAAAAGGAGAACATAAACTATTTGCATTCTCAGCCATGTGTAAAGTGAGGGTTCAATTCCTAGCAAGAATAGAAGCAGGAAAAGGAGCAAAAAGCAGATTTTTATGGAATCCTTCAGTTTCCCTATCTCAGTATGTTTCTATTCAAAAAATTTTTCATTGTGCCTTTTTTGACTTAGTTATTTTAAAACAATTTTCTGAATATAAAGTGCCACTAGATGATTATTTCTTCAGCTTATTAGTATACAGACAAAAGAAACTTGATAATGTCTCTTATAAGTCTGATGAATGATCCTTGCTAAGTATTTTTAAATATTTGAGATTAAAGTAATAGGGAAACTTTTAGGAATTACTCAGTGTTTAATGAACTTAAAGTCCATTCCCATTTAATTGTGTCCTACAGCCAGGTGCCACTCTTTGTGCAAATTCATCATAAATGGCGAAGAATGTATGTGGGCGAATGTCAGGGTCATGGTGTCCGAACTGATTTTGAAATGGTTCATCTTCGGAAAGTGCCAAATCAGTACACTCATTTATCAGGTCTGCTGGATATCTTCAAATCAAAGATTGTGAGTTTGCATTGATATTGTCAGTCTTATCTGGGATCCAGATAAAAGTAGCAATTTAGTAATTTTATTGAGTATGTAGAAACATTTCTCTGTAATATTCATCATGTAATTAGTTGGAAGGAAGATATAATTGACTACATAAATTACTATGTATGTTTAAAGAAACAGTATCTAGTTAGATTTTTAGTGTACTAATGCTAAAAAAACAATATTGTTCAATTTGTTAAGATTTATTTACTGTGTTATCTCTTCCTACTCCTTTTCCTCTAAGTTGACCCTTAAACATCACAGGGGTTAGAGCCCTGACACTCTCCCTCCCCTGTACAAAAATCCACTTACAATTTTTGACTCCCCCAAACTTGATTATGTCACACCAGTTACATAAACATTTGATTAACACATTTTGTGTGTTATGTATATTACATATCATATTCTTATAATAAAGTAAACTGGAGAAAAAATGTTACTAAGAAAATTGTAAGGAAGAGAAAACACGTTTTTATAGTATTATTATACTATAAAAAGCTTATCTATAAGTGGATCTGCATTGTCAAATCCATGTTCAGGGGTCAGCTATTGGCAATGTCAGCAGCTTCAGGTAGCTGCTTGTTTAGGACTTTGTGAGCTCCTTGAGGTGTCAACACTTTTTTTCTGAATTGTCTCCCCTGCTCCATCTTTATTTGATTCGATTTTTTAAAATTAATCTGGCTTATGTTTTACGACTGCAAGCAGTAAGGCTAAATGGAATATACTCAGTATATCCTTGGTGTTCTATAAAAACACTATCAGATAAGGAGGACTTGTGTATGTTACTCTGAGGTAAGAAAGTAAGTTGAGGAGCTATTAGAAAGTGAACAAAGCCAGATGAGGAAATGAGGGATTGGATCCTCTACCTAGAGAAATAAGTGCTTGACAACCATATCACCGAAGTGATCATACTTTATAAACAAACCGATAAGATGTCTCCTAGAATGATACATTGAATAGGATATATTATCACCTGTGTTGCATTCCTGCCTAAAATATTTAACTTAAGTTAAAACATGAGGAAACAATCTCATTTCCAAAATGAGCCATATTTTGCAAAGTAACTGGCCTAGACTCTTCTAAAAAGTTAGTTAGTACCATGATTGGCAAAAAAGGATTGGGAGCTGTTTAAATTAAGGGAGACTAAAGTGACATAATAGGTAACTGCAATGCATAATCCTGGACTGGATCTCTGACCAAAACATAGTAGCCAAAAAGGATATGATTGGAACAATTTTAGCACGGAGTATATATTAGAAAATAGTGCCAGTATTAAAATTCTTGAGTATGATAATTGTTTTATGGTAATTACCTGCTGAAGTATTTAGAAGTGAATACCTACAACTTCCTTTCAAAAGGTTCAGCCAAAAAAAAGGTTCAGCCAAAAAATTATTTACATTTATATATGTGTGTGTATCAAAATGTTAATAATTGGTGAACTTTGGTGAAAGTCACAGGGATGTTAATTATGCTGGCTTTGCAGTATTAAGGTTGACAAGTTTTAAAAAGGAAAAAATAATGAGGAAAATGCTGAAATTCTCTTTTAGTAGGTATGGTTTGTTAAATATTTAGGATTAAAACTTAATTTCATAAAAATGTTTTCAGTGTGGAGGTAGGCACAGTTTCTTGTGTTTATCTCCACTAAAAGATTATCAAAGCATATATTTCAGAGAGTTCCATGTATGGGTATGTAATCCCCCCCCCCCCCCAAAAAAAAAAAAAAACTTTCTGGGCTTTGAAATCCTTTAAGTACTGCTTCATTCTACATGTGATGTTTTGGGAAAGATTTGATAAAGATAAGTATGTATATATTTTGTCCATTTGTTTTCCTTTGCTCTCTCACCAGAAGAGTTTTCACCAGAATATACAACTCTCTCCAGTTGTGTATTTTTTGATCATGTTTCTGGTCAGATGCAAATATTGATACTTTATTCCTTCTTCTAAAACAGTAGTGAACATTATTTTCGTAGATCTTTTATGTCCTTTATTTAGCTGAACTTCTCTTTACTGAAACTAGGGGCCACCACCTTGATCTCTGCAGTCTAACTTAGATTATGATGGCTTATTAGCTGTACCTTAAAAAAAAAAAAAGTGTTCTAGGGGCGCCTGGGTGGCTCAGTTGGTTAAGTGTCTGCCTTTGGCTCAGGTCATGATCCCAGGGTCCTGAGATTGAGCCCCACGTCCCTTCTTAGCAGAGTCTGCGTCTCCCTCTCCCTCTGCCAGCAGCCCCACCCCCTGTGTGTATGCATGATCTCTCTGTCTCAAATAAATAAAATCATTCTTTGAAACAGTGTTCTTAATCAGTTCATCACATCATCTGGCAGAACTTTCAAAAAGCTCACTCACCTAGATAAGAAACATCTCTCAAAATTGATTTTTTTAAGAAGTAGGCTCCATATGCTATGTGGGGCTTAAACTCAAGATCCTGAGATCAAGAGTCGAATGCTCTACCCACCGAGCCAGCCATGCATCCCTCAGAATTGATTTGACAAGAGTTGAACTTATAATTCAGAGTTGCTTTGGACACTTATAAGAGTTTTACATGGTTAAAGATACCCATTATGTGACTCTTCTGTAATGTCTCTCTAAAGCTATCTTTATAAAAATTACCCTTTAACATCTGCTTACAATGTTCCAGAGTACTCACTCTTCACTGGAAGGTTATTTCATTTTCACATACATCTATAATTTATTAGAAAAGGCTTCCTTATGGTAGGGCTGGGCGGTCAGTTTTGCCTTTTGGAGTATATAAAATTTAAATTCTGCCATAATCCTCAATATTTGAAAATATACATTCTAGTCTTTTTTCATTTAGATATTTGTTCAACTATTCTTTATATTTCATGGTTTTATGCTCTTGAATGTTGACTTGGATATCTGCCTCCTTTACAACTACATCTCTTCATGTTTTGTGGAAATTTTGTTTGCAGGCTCACTTTCTCTCCCATCCTAACTTACAGCTCTGTAAGCTATAAGTAGGTTGCTCCCTACCTGTAGAAAATTTCAGAATTGGGTTTTTAAATGGTGCTTGGAGCCTGTTGCTCTGGTGATATTAGGAATATTGCATAGTCTTGGAATTACTGGATTGCTTGCTTAGATTATGAGAGTATTTACCCCCTTACTTAGTAACTCTTCCCAGCCCATAATGTCCAACAAAACTACTGTACCAAGCAGATGTGCCCTGCTTCCATTGTCTGCCTTTAAGCAGTCATGCAATGTGCTCACTCTGGGCAGAGTTGAACTTCCACTTCTGTTTTAATGCAGTCTGTAATCCTAGGCCATCACTGCCACCTTTCACACCTGGAACTCAGCAGTCATGTGTCTTAAGCTCCACTTAAAACTTTGGATTTTGTGTACCTTTTTAGGGCCCACAAAGATATTTTTATATCATGTTCGATCCTAGCTATTTCTTTCTGGTTATCTTCTATATTAATCTATGTTGCTATGTAACTAGAACAGAGGTTGTGTCAAAGCAATTTTGTTAATGGTTTTTAGACTATTCATATCTTACTGTGGATGAACTCTCGTTTAATATTCAGACTTGACCAACAAGTCTTATTTTTCCTAACCAGCCAGAATCTTACCTTGCTTGTGTAGGACACAGCAGCCCAAAACTGACTTACCTTTTTTGGAGGCGGCCACTTTGTATTGTGACTGTAGATTGAGTTTGTATTTGGTTAAAGCTACTAGTGACATTTATAGATGCTGCTGCTGGGCTATATGTGTCTTAATCTTTCTGGTCAGCAATAACAGCAACACCTAGTAACTGGTTAGATATGCAGAATACTCTCTCATTTTTATTTTCACATGCTCCCTAAGTGATTCCTATTATATTTAAGTCCTATTCCACATTAATGTAGGTTAACCATTATTAAGGGAAGCTGAGAGCATAGAATGTTTGGATGATGTTGATTTTCATGATTTTTAATGAATGTAAATGAATCTAAATTTTCTGTTAACTGATTCATTAATATAAACTATTTTGCAAGAGCGACCATTTATTTTGTTTCCAGATAGCAGTTTATTTACTTGTTTTTTAAAAAGATTTGTTTATTTATTTGAGAAAGACAGTGCACCTCAGCCCATGTGAGTTGGGGGAGGGACAGAAGGGGAGGGAGAGGGGCAAGGAGACTCCATGCCAAGCAGGGAACCTACAAGGGCTCAACACACAGCCAGCACAAGGGACTTGCATCTTATGACCCCAAGATCATGACCTGAGCCACAATCAAGAGTCAGAAGCATAACCATTGAGTCCTCCAGTTAATAGTTTAAACAGCTTCATGTTCATGTAATTTGCTTCTGGCATTGTTTATAAGACACTTTTTTAACAGCTATACAATTCTCTCTTTATATTTATTTCCAGGGATGTCCTTTAACTCCTTTGCCTCCAGTTAGTATTGCTATTCGCTTTACGTATGTACTTCAGGATTGGCAGCAGTATTTTTGGCCTCAGCAGCCTCCAGGTGAGATAATTTAGTGTATTTAACTTACTGAATATAAATGGTAAAGAAAATATATTTGGAAATTGAAATTATTTAACAGTGGGTTTCAAGTGTTGTAAGTTTGAAATATTTGTAATTCATTCTAAATGGAGTATTGCTGATTTCATTGCCTTTATCTTTTTTTTTTTTTTTTGCTCTTGAAGAAAGCTCTGAGGTTTGTCCTAGAGACAGCATTACTCGATATGTGACAATCTGTTTTTGAAAGCTATTATTTATAAAGCATCCTCCTGCTGTGGAGCATCATGTGCTTCAAATTAGTATGTAGTGAATGACTTAAATATCTTTTTAGAATGTAATAACGGAAGCCACCTCATAAGCTGAGAACCTTTTGGAAATTAGAGTTTGAAGAAGAGTACTAAATGTAATAAGGAAAGCAGGAAAAAAATGTGTATATACACATATACTTAAGATGGTGGAGCTCTAGAATATTTTACTTTAATGTGCTCTTGATGTAATTAAAACCAATTTACCTGCTTAGCCATAAAGCAATGTATGATTCATTCAGTAATCATTAATTATAAGCCTATAATGGGCCAGCCAACCTGGGATGTTTGGGGTGCAGGTATGAACAACATATTACCTAAGTTCTAGAAAAGTTCACCCTACTGGACATATAGTCTAATTAAGTGAGGATTTGGTTCCTGGGTATTTCTCTCACATACAAGTGTAATTATATTCAAGTATAACTAATAAGAAATGTAATGCAGGGATCCCTGGGTGGCGCAGCGGTTAAGCGCCTGCCTTTGGCCCAGGGCGCGATCCTGGAGACCCGGGATCGAGTCCCACATCGGGCTCCCGGTGCATGGAGCCTGCTTCTCCCTCTGCCTGTGTCTCTGCCTCTTTCTCTCTCTGTGTCTATCATACATAAATAAAATTTAAAAAAATTAAAAAAAAAAGAAATGTAATGCAAATTTATAAATCATTACAAGGATTTTACCAACCTAAAAACATTTTTTCGTCTACTCCCCCCCATGAAAAAGAAATTAGAATAAAACAATATTCTTTACTATTTATTTTTGTTCCAAGTAGTTTTTTTTTTTTAAGATTTTATTTATTTATTCATGAGAGACACACATGGAGAGGCAGAGATATAGGCAGAGGGAGAAGCAGGTTCCCTCCTGGGAGCCTGATGTGGGACCTGATCTCAGGACCCTGGGATCACAACCTGAGCCCAAGACAGATAGATGCTCAACTATTGAGCCACCTAGGTGCCCCGGTAGTTGGTTACGTATAGGATAGAATAGGTAATTTTGGAATGATACTGGAATTAATGTAGTATGTCCTTAGCCTTTGGTAGTTATATGTGCTACCAGCATTTTATTTATATATCACAGAATAATTTGAAACTCTATGTACAATAAAAGAATTGCATCTAAACTATAGCAAAGGGAAATAAAAGCTAAGCTGATAATTAAATTAGAAGAAAGACCCAAACGTTCATTTTGGTAATTTTAGTTCCCAGACAATACCCTTCAGACAATTTGTAGCCAGCTTCTATGTGAAGGTTTTAATTCCTGCCCTCTTTTTTCTTTTTTCAAAGGTTGCTCTATTGTTAGTCAATTTTTAATATTTCCCAAGGTGATTTAGTTTATTGATGATCTAAGAAGAAGCCCAAGAGCCAGAATGTTAGCATTATAATTTTGATTGCCAGTAAGACCTTTGTTAATGTTCTCTTGCCGATTTTCCTTCCTTCCTTCCTTCCTTCCTTCCTTCCTTCCTTCCTTCCTTCCTTCCTTCCTTCCTTCCTTCCTTCCATCCTTCCTTCCTTCCTTCCTTCCTTCCTTCCTTCCTTCCTTCCTTCCTTCCTTTCTTTCTTTTCTTTCTTCCGATTCTTTTTTAATGGAGACCAAAATAGAACCATCTTCCGCGGTGAACTGAAGGCCATGTAAATTTTTAATATTTTCTCCTTATAAAGGGAAGGAAGGGATTTGAACATGTAATATGGGCCAGACACTGTGCTTTTAGAGAGGGAGAAGAGAGAGAATGGAGGTGCAGAGGGGGAGAGAGTGGGGCTCCTTATGGGGCTTGCTTGATCTTACCCTGAGATCATGACCTGAGCTAAAATCGAGAGTCAGGTGCTTAACCAACTGAGCCACTTGTGAACTTTTTTTTTTCCCCTAGGATTTTATTTATTTATTTGAGAGAGGAAGACACAAGGATAGTGACAGAGAGAACATGAGCAAGCAGGAGCGAGCAGGGAGGAGAGTTCACACTGTTGAGCGGGGAGCCTGACTTGGAGCTCAATCCCAGGACTCTGGAATTCTTAGCTGACTGAGTTACCAAGGCACCCCCTTTTCTGAACTTTTAACTGAATTAAAACTTCTGCACAGTTATGATCTAGTAAAAAATTTTAGCTTACTAATTTATAAAATAGGCTTTTTACATATTTTGAAGCTCTTAAAGATTCACATCTTGTAATAAAGCTGGTTATTGTAATCTTTATTATTATAAGCATTCTTTAGTTGGAGAAATGAAATTGACTTGAGAAAATTTACTGAATCAAGTAATTGAGCCATATTTAATGACTGATTTTAATTTGGTTAGGTTGTAGATAATTATCAAACATGATTTTAGTAAATCTGGGGAATATTCATAAAACAACAATAGACCCTAATTTGTGAAATTCCCAGTGTAGTGCAAATAATGAAAAGCAACCATCTGAATTATTTCAAAGAGAAATAAATCCTTTGGATGTCTTTTAGAAGTGTTTATTAGTTCTTTAAGATTGGTGAGGGGGGGAGTGACTTACCTTCTAAATTCTCCTCTAATCTCAGATACTATTCATAACAGAAAGGAAATTCTTTGTTAAACTGAAAGTATTTCCATGTACTACCTACTGAAATAAAAATTTATTAATGATACCTAATTTGCCATTCAGAAATTATTGACAGCAAAACCGATGAATATAGGTTGATGATTAAATTTTTTAATACTTGGATAATCTTTCTTTTAGATGATATTAATCACATTCTTAGAAAATGCAAAGAAAAGTACAGAACTAATGTTCTTAAGCATTATTTAAGGAATATTTCAAGAGTTAAATGTAGAACACATGGCTTGAATAAAACACTGTACAAATAGGAATTTCAGTGTGTTCTTCTATTATAACATTCTATTTATTTTAACTTCTTTGTAAGTAGTCTATTTTTTTTTTAAGATTTTATTTATTTATTCATGAGAGACAGAGAAAGAGAGAGAGAGAGAGAGAGGGGCAGAGACACAGGCAGAGGAAGAATTAGGCTCCGTGCAGGGAGCCTAATGTGGGACTTGATCCCGGGACTCCAGGATCACACCCTGGGCTGAAGGCAGGCGCTAAACCACTGAGCCACCCAGGTATCCCTTTATAAGCAATCTAATTAAAGATGGTTTAGTCTCTAACTTAATGTGCTCTTGATATAGGCACATTTAAATCTATGATCTCCCAGAGAACTAACCTCACTAAATTAAATTCTTATTAATTTTTTGCTGGATAATGGAAAACTGTTTCTTTTGCTTAGATATAGATGCCCTTGTAGGAGGAGAAGTTGGAGGCCTGGAGTTTGGCAAGTTACCATTTGGTGCCTGTGAAGATCCTATAAGGTGGGAATTTCAATCTGTCATTTGAATTATGGGACTTGACCGTTTCTTTCTTTTTTAAAGATTTTATTTATTTCAGTGAGAAAGAGAGAGCATGAGCCAGGGGGAAGGGGCAGAGGCAGAAGCAGACCCCCTGCTGAGCAGGGAACCTGACTCAGGGCTCGAGCCCAGGACCCTGAGATCATGACCTGAGCTGAAGGCAGACACTTAACTGATTGTCAAGTCATCCAGCAACCCTAGGAGTTTACTTTTTAAATTCTATTAATACTTATTTTACTGTGCTTTGTAATACTGTAGCCTTCTGGAATGAGTATAGTACCAGAAGCAGACCTACACCTAACCATCTGTCCATCTATTTTTTTATTACTCTGTAATTTGGAAATAGGCTTTGAAATAATAAAGAAAATGTGTATAATGCCATTTATTGAGTATTCTTTATAGAAGTGATTCTTGGCCTACTTTTTGGGAGACATTTAAATATTGAAAAGCACAGAGAATGTCCTATGTAACAAACTTTCATGTATTCATCACAGAGAATTAACAAATGTTTACGTTTTTCCTGACCACTTTTTCCAAATGTACAAATAGAGACTTAAGTCAGACCTCTTAGGTTACCTAACTGCTTTTCTAGAAGAGCTACTGAACTTTAAGAAAATTTTGCTTTATAAGAAAATGTAAGGCTTGGAAAATTTAATTACTGAGAGCAAAATATTTGGAAAACATTAGTAATGCTGATTTTAAAACTCTTATTTTAGTTAAACTATTTGGTTAATTAAAAACCATATACGCACACATCCATACCGTGTGTGTGTGTGTGTCTATGCATGCATGTATCCAGAATGTGTTTATTGGGATGGTTTCCCACTCATCTTGATTCAGGGTGCTTTTAGTGCTGTTTCTGTCTGTAGGAGAGCATCCTTCTGTAAGCCTTGCTTTTAAAAACTCTTGTAGTCTGGCAAACGACAGTGGAGCAGCCAACGCACAAAACTGTGCATGTCTAAAGATGGTGGTGATTTTGTAGCATCGTGGGTACTTCAGGTTTATAAAGTAGGAATTGGGATTCTGCACCAGACACTTCTTGTGCTTCCTCTTCTCTTCCAGGGAGGGATGAAGGTAGTTCTTTGCAAGTAGTATGTTGTCATGGGGAGATTATCACTTCCAGAAAGGCACATATGTACATTCTTAATACTCTAATGTAGAGGTAGAACTAATAATACTTTTAACTTAAAATCACTGGAGGGAAAGATAAAATAAGTATCTTTTGTAGTTGATACTTATTTATTATATGTGCCAGGACAGGCAGGCACTATGCTGAAATAAGAAGATTCAGAACTAAATAAAACATTTTCTGGCTTCTTGGTATTTACAGTCTGATTGAAAGAAATGGACAAAATAATCACCTAAATAAAGGTACAGTTACAGACTGGGGGTAATTTGAAGGAAATATATAGGCTGTAATAACAGTAAAATGAGAAACTAGTTTGGATTGGGATGCATTAGGAAAGTGTTCTCAAAGGAAATATCTCAGTTAGGGAGGATTTAGCCAGGCAGTGAGGGAGGGAGGGAGGGAGGGAGGGAGAGAGAGAGAGAGAGAGAGAGAGAGAGAGAAAGAGAAAATGACCATTGCAGATGGAATGAAGAGCCTTGATACATGAAGAATTGGGCGAGTTTCCCAAAGGAAAAGAAGGTGGCCATCATGGCATAGTAAATAAGGGAGAGAAATGGTATATTTGTGGCCCTCCAACTGGTTCATTCATTAGATTTTGCTTAGGGAAAATTTTATTTTTTTATTTTTTTAAAGATTTTATTTATTCATGAGAGACACACAGAGAGAGAGAGGCAGAGACATAGGCAGAGGGAGAAGCAGGCTCCCAGCGGGGAGCCTGATCCCAGGACCTCAGGATCATGACCTGAGCTGAAGGCAGATGCTCAACCACTGAGCTACCCAGGTGTCCCAAAAAGTTTGAGAGAGAGAAAATGAAATTGACCTGGTAATAGAAATGTGAAGGAATTAGTTATTAATATTTCCTAATTCTAAATCATGATGAGGAATCAGAGAAATAGATGATTGAAGAAAAATACAAAAATAATCTGGGAATGAGATGGTGTATATGGTAGATTATATAAATTACATGGTGATTAACAAATGCTGTGGGCATGCACTGTAGTTTTGAAAAGGAATCTTTGGTGATAGAAGAGGAAATGAGGCATTTTTCAGTGTCTTCTCTTTGTCAAAGAAATTGTTCTATAGTTATGGATGAGGAGAGAACATAGTCATAAAAGCTTAGGGACTGAATCTGAGGTTAATACCTATAGGTATTTCAGAGCTTAGAGTTTTAAGCTTGTCATCATTCATGTCCTTTAATATCACATACTGTCTAGCCATTTTTTTACCTAAAAAATTTGTTCTATTAGAGTAATGAATTTATGCTAAGTAAGGAAACTTTAGAAAATGTAAAAAGAGGCAAAAATCATGTTTGCTAGTCAAGTTCCTTAGTTGTAAACTGTAGTAGTCAATTCTGACTAATTCAAACAAAAAATCAACTTACTCAAGAGGTATTTGGTAACACAGAGGGACCATTATAGGACCCAGCTCAGAAAATAGGCTTGAGCCCAGGGTGGCTAGTTGTCCGGTTATTAATTACGGTTGTACTATATTGTAGATTCTGGCCCTGTTAACACAGTAATTCTAAAATGTAGAGCAGGCTGGAGTTGCCAGTTGAGTACCCTAAAAATCAGAGAAATTAAGTAATTGACTCTTTTGTCTTCTTTACTCTCCAAGAAGTGGGTTCAAAATCTCTACAAGAAAAAGAATATTCACTAAGTTTACAATCCCATAGACTGTCACTGATGACAGCTTGGTCTCTGCAAGACTCTTGGGTTCAGTGGTTTGCTAGGAGGATTCACACCATTTACTGTGCTCATGACTATGGTATATTACATTGAAGGGATACAGTGTAAAAATCAGCTAAGGGAAAAGGCACATACGTCCATAGTAAGCCAGGGATTAGCTTCCTTTCTCAGTGTAGTCACTCAGGACACACTTAATTCTCCCAGCAATGAATTCTGAAAACATGTATGAAAGGCTCTCTCCCAGGGAAGCTTACTAGAGACTCAGTGCATGGTGTGTTTATCTGGGGCTGGTGACATAGGCACCCTGTCCAGTACTAGAAGGAAACAGGTATTCAGCATAAACCATATTGTTTGCACTAGTAGTTTAGGCACAGTGAGCCACTCCTATCAAGGAATGATAGGAACCCCATGAAATTCAAGGTCCCAGATGGCAAGCCAAAGGTGAACCTTGCAGGTAGTCCTTTTCTAAGTATCAGACCTGCTATGATAACTCTTTGTGTGCAGTATGTTTATATATTTTATAAATATATGTCATCCTGTATATGTTTTGTGTCTTGCTTTATTTTACATGAAAACATTTTGAAACTTAATATTTATCTATATTAAGAGGTCAACAAATTATGACCTGTGGACTGAATCTGGCCAGTAGCCTATTTTTGTATGCCCAGTGAGCTTAGAATCACTTTTGCATTTTTTCGGGTTTTAAAAGAAAAGACAAGATTGTAACAGAGACTACTTGGTCCCCAAAGCCTAAATATTTACTCTGTGAGCTTTTGTTAGAAAACATTTGCTAACCTCTGATCTATCTCAATTTTTCAAAATTGAGATATAATTCATGTACCATTATACTCACCATACAATGTGTTCGGTTCAGTGGTTTTTAGTGTTTCCAAAGTTGTGCAACCAACATCTCTTTCTAATTCCACAACACTTTCATCATCCCCAAAAGAAACCCTTTACCTCTCAGCTATCATCCCTGTGATCTCCCGAGGCCCTCTAGCTAGGCAAATACTAAACCTTCTTTCCTTATGGATCTGCCTGTTCCAGACATTGTGTTTGAATTGTGTTATGCAGCGTGTGGCCTTTTGTGTCTTCTTTCACTTAGCAAAATGTTTTTGAGGTTCATCTGTATTGTAGCATGAGTCAATATTTCACTGCTTTTTATTGGTGTATAATATGCCATTATATGGTTATTTCCACACTTTATCCATTGATCGATATTTGGGTTATTTACAGTTTTGGGCTATTATGTGGATAGCATGTGTTTTTAATGTATGCAAGACATTAACTTCATATAGGTGTGCTACCATTTGCTAATAAAACTAATTGTCTCCTGTTTTACTGTATTATAAACAGCATGAGTTTTAACATACTTGCATATACATTTCTGGTTATTATAATACATTTCTAGAAGTAGAATTGCTAAGTCAGAGGATATACATACAATATTAGAGCTTTTGGATATGTTTTATGTTTTATTTTAGTGAACTCCATTTAGCAACTACATGGCCTCACCTGACTGAAGGTATCATTGTGGATAATGATGTTTATTCGTAAGTATGTTAAGAGTAGCATATTGAGATTCAAACATTTCAGTAGAATAAATGAACCGCTGAGTGGTTAGCAACTTTTTATCAGTTTTCTGATTGGTTGATTTTTCTACTTTTAAAGATTGCTTTTTAGACTGATTAAATATGTATTAGAGATGTGTTATAAGCTGCTGACCTTGTGGGTATGATCTTTAGTTTGGGGTTAATGAATGATCTCTCTTTTTTTAAGTTGGTATTTTATTTTATTATTATTATTATTTTTTTAATTTTTACTTATTTATGATAGAGAGAGAGAGAGAGGCAGAGACATAGGCAGAGGGAGAAGCAGGCTCCATGCACCGGGAGCCCGACGTGGGATTCGATCCCGGGTCTCCAGGATCGCGCCCTGGGCCAAAGGCAGGCGCTAAACCGCTGCGCCACCCAGGGATCCCTAAGTTGGTATTTTAATTCCAGTTAGTTAACATACAGTGTAATATAATTTCAGATATACAACATAGTAATTCTGCACTTCCATATAGGATCCTGTGCTTATCACAAGTGCATGCCTTAATCCCCATCACCTATTTAACCAACCCCCCTTACCCTGAACAATATGAGTCTTACTTTTGTTTTAGCAAAGATGTCTCTGAGCAGATCCTCTAAGCAGAGATTTGTGCATAATTCTGTTGAACTTTTCTTAGCTAGTTAGAAGTATTTCATGAATTACTTTGAAGAAGTCATGGTCTTTAGAACATGTTGGAGTCATATTTGAACATTAAATGTCATAAATTACAAAATGTCCCAGTCATGTACTCCTGTGCAATGGAAATAACTCAAAAATTATGGCAAATATTATTTAGGAAGAATGTGGAGAAAGAGGAACACCATTTTAGTACCTTCTCATGCATGATGTAGAATAGTGAGAAGTAGGATACTTTTTTTTTTTTGTTGTAATTAAAATAAATGGGTTGTTTTTGCTGGTGGTAAAAGTAACATGAGCTTTCTTAATCAGATAATTTAGATGTATATTAAGAAGAAAATAAGGACTACGTGCAATCCTGTTACTTGAAAAATAGCATTTTGAGGTGTATCCTTGTTTTTTTTAAATTGAGATATAATTGGCACATAACATTAGTTTCACATGTACAACATGAGTCAATATTTGCATGGGAAAGTATCTTTTTAAAGTTTAAATTTATATACTTATTTAGTATATATCTTTACATATTTAATGCCAATAAATATAGATCTATGTTATTTTTTAAATTGCTGCATAATATTCCATTAAATGGATACATAATAATCTACTTAACTGAGAAAATAGGGCAAATTTGATCTTGTGCAAATTTTGTAGTCTGCTTTTACTATTAGTGCTATAAAAAAACAATTAAGATCATTGTGCATACTACTTGTTTCTCATTTCTTTTTTATTTTAAAATTATTTGTTTTATTAGATTATCAGTGTACATTGCCTGTTCAGATCTATAATTTTTATATTTGTTTTGATTATTCTGTTTTGCTTGTGGGTTTTCTTTTGTACATTTTTGTCTGTAAACTTTGATTTCTTAAGATCCATTGATCGATATTTGTTTTTTTTTTTTTTTTAATTTAACCACATGGCCTTATTTTTGAGTAACTATAAGTTTAAGGGAGGCAAAATGGATTGCTTGTCCTTCATGTAATTAACTAGATTGTATTTTGATAAGTTAATGAGTTGCAGTTTGTCGTAATTAGGATCTTATGTTTATTGTTCTTCATTTTAGTGATTTGGATCCTATTCAGGCTCCCCATTGGTCTGTTAGAGTTCGAAAAGCTGATAATCCTCAGTGTTTGCTGGGTAAGACATGCTTACATTACATTCCTTTCCTGAATTTATGTTCTTTCCCCACCAATATGCCCATGTTCCAGATTAGGAAGACTGTGAATGTATTCTTTATACTTTATTTCACCTATCAGAAGGGTACATTTTGATTTTTTTTTACATTTGTGATCTTCTTGGTTAATACCATTAACAAGGAAATCTTTCCCAAGAACAGTGAATCCTAGTAAGTCTTGAATAGCACTGCCAGGATTTCTTGCTTATCTTTTAGTTTTAAGTGGTCTATACCTCAGGATTCTTGCATATTTTCTCATGATCTGAGTTTTATTCTTCCAAAGCTTTTTTTATGTTATTCTCTTTTCTTCTTATGGCAGTTTGTGTCTTCCATTCTTGTTATTAGTTGGTTAGCTTCTGCCTTTTGCCATGCTCTGGACCTGTGATATATGATGAGAAGAACACTGATTTTGACAGTCTAATTAGAGGCCTGTAGAGTTGTACCACATCTCCAAACCTATTTTCTGATAGAGGGAAAGAGGTTTAAGGAATCAAGTGAAATACCACAAATAGAAATACTTTGAAAATGTTAATTTGCCTTTTAGATAATATTGTATCCCTTGTCTGGCATTATCTTTCTTTTATCATTTGTGTAGATGTATCTCTTTCATGAAGTCTCTGAACCCAGCACCTCAGTGTGTCTTTCCATCTTTTTCTCTCATATTTAGTACATATGACCATATTTCATTTCTGTTTTCATACAAGCCGCTTTCACTCCATAGGATACATTATCATTCAGCTAATGGAGTTACTGAATATTTATTGATGACAGTCACCATGTGTTTCTCTAAAGTATTATTTTCTTGGGTTCTTTAAAATTTGTCATATGCTATTCATTAAATGCTGATTAACATTTTTTGCTAACTACATAATAGTGAATACAAAGATGTATAAGGTAAAATTCCTGCCATTGGTGAATTTGTCTTGGGTATTAGACAGAAAAGTAGAGGGTTGGTATAAGGAGTTTGAGAATTGGTTGGACCTTATTTTAAATCTTAGGTCTGCCAGTTTGAACAAGTTTCGTTAATTTCTTCAAGTCTCCGTAAAATAGAGACAAAAATAGTATATACATAGTTATTGAGATGATCAAATGAGATTATGTGTATGTTTGTATATCACATTTAATACGATGTCTATCATATAGTAAATGCTCAATAGTTTTTGCTTAATCATTGATTTATTAAATTATTAAATTGATTTCTAGTTCCTTATTGTCCCTCATCTACGGATTTCCATGATAATTGCAGAGGACCTAAGAGTTTGAAGTACTCTCATTTTAAGTTACTGTTCCATGATCCCACCCTATCTCTTTTGACTTTTTATGCTTATATATTAAAGGATGCTGTAGTCATATATAATTAACTAGAGTCATGTAATTTATTTGATTGAATTACAGGATTATCTTACTTTTCCGAAGAAGTCCAGAAAGTGTTCTAGATTTATTCAGAACTACTTGATGAATTCTAAAACTTAGATGTACTTGCTCTCTTGTATTATCTAATAATTTTAGTACTGATAGTTCCTCCTAAACTTTATTTTTCTATAAACATCTCATTGCAGTTCTTTAGAAGATATCAAACCTTTTCCCCTTATGATGACATGAAGCATACCATTAATATGCAGCTGAAGCTAACATAACTTTATGTTACATGATTCTTAATCCTCCAGAAATATGTCTTCAGAATTTCTTTTTAATTTAATTTTTTTTTTAATGGACTCAATTCTAGAAGGGTGGCAGTTAGGGTGGCACTGTGCGCATATAGTAATATTCTTGTTACTTCTGCAGCTCATTGAGAACAGATATTAGTCTTCTTTAGGCACATAGTGCTTAATATTACAAGGTACAGTTAGTTTTCCTTTCATTCTAGAAGGAATCCTAGGAAAAAAAATTTTTTAATATCCTGGGACATGGAGAGAAGGGAAGAACAAGGCTACCTTTGTAATAGGATTAATTTTTGTCTTGGGTAGAAAAACTGAGTGGTTTCTTTTTCTACTATATCTTATTTATAGCTTTTATGAAAAGAAGTGTACTTTAGTTTGTAGGACTGATGTCTTTTAGTTAAGTGTCAAAAATGAGTAACATTTTTTTTTTTATTTAGGTGATTTTGTCACTGAATTTTTTAAAATTTGCCGTCGAAAGGAGTCAACTGATGAGATTCTTGGTCGATCCACATTTGAGGAAGAAGGGAGAGGTGACCTACTTTCCTTTTTTTTAAGTTACTCTCAAATGTCTAACCCTTTTTGGGGGAATTTTTCCAGTAACTTTTCATCTATTTTCACAGTTGAATTAAGTTGGAAAAGCAAATTTTGATAGACTAGACTGCTACCATCTCTTTTCTGGCTATACCCTGAGCTTAAAATACTAAGCACATTTAATACATTCTTTTTACCAAAAATGTAAGATATTTTGAAAAGTGGGGTTTTAGAGGTTTATTTTTGAACTTCTAGAGAAAAATAATTTGTGTTATACCTTTGTCATTATGAATGCATGTAAAGCTGAATGTATGTATTAAAATTTTATAGTTCTGAGACCATGTAACACTAGTGAAAAGAGTGACTAAAATATTTTACACGATCAGTGGTTTACTCCTCACTTTAAGGTTGGTGATGTAATTTGTATTCGTTTCTATTCTTTTTATAGAAATTGCTGATATAACTCATGCTTTGTCAAAGTTGACAGAGCCAGCACCAGTTCCAATTCATAAATTATCAGTTTCAAATATGGTACACACTGCAAAGAAGAAAATACGAAAACACAGAGGTGTAGAAGAGTCACCACTGAATAATGATGTCCTCAATACTATTCTGTTGGTAACTAAATGTAGTGTCTTTTTATGTCTGTATGCATACTCATTTATTCATTATCTGTTTAGTGCCTTCTATGTGGCAAGCACTGGATTGGGAATATAAAATAAGTAAAACAAAGTCTTCATGTTCAGAGAATTCCCACTAGCTTAATGGAAAGAAGGAAAGGAAACTGTAGTTACAATACCATGTTGCAAGGGAGAAGTCTGGCAAGTTGGCTGTGAGAACACAGCAGAGGGTGCATCTCTCTATCTAGGCACTGGGGATCAGGGAGGGTGTCATAAAGAGGGGTACTTGAGTTGCATCTTGAAGAGGTTTTAGAAACAGGAACAGCAGAGCTATGAGAGAACATATTTGGTATATTGTACAGTGCTTCCCAGGGAGTGGCCGGAGACAAGGCTGGAGAGGTAGCAAGTAACCTGCTATGCTGAAACACTGGGCTTCATCTTGCAGTTTAATATTATTTTGAGCAGAAGGTCAACATCAGAACTGTATTTTTGAAAACTTCATTTCACAAAAGTCTAGGGAAGGTTTTATAGTAAGTATTAGAAGGAGCTAAGGTGTCTCCTAGGTATAGAATGATGGAACAAGCCCAGCCTGGGAACCACATACACGAGGGTTAATCCTTACTATATTATATTATTGAGTAAGTCACTTAATTTCAGTTTTGTCATCTGCCTGGCATATAATAATAGGTCTCTGATAAATGATAGCTGTTCTTACTATAATTGTAGTTATAATCATATTTCTGGCGATTCATGCATTCAGATAATCTTGGGAACAACCTTTGAGTAGTGCAGTGAAAAGAATACTGGACTTGCAACTTGAAGTTAATTTCACCCCAGGCATTAAACTGAAAAAGAATCAGATTTTCAGCTTGTATATCTGTAAGGAGGCAGTAATAGTTGCCTTATACAGTGGTTTTTAGATTAGTATATTGTTTGTAAACGTACCTAGTTGTGGGAGGTGGTACAGAGTAGTTCCTCTAAATTTGAAAAAATGTCCTGTGCATGTTCTGTAACATGTGGCAAAGTATGCATGGTAAAAGGAATCACAAGTCAGTAGTACCACAAAACACTTAGGAAGAAGAGTGATAAAAGGACTGAGAATAAATGTCTTTTTTTTTTTTTTTTTAAGATTTTATTTATTTATTCATGAGAGACCCAGAGAGGTAGAGACACAGTCAGAGGGAGAAATAGGCTCTCTGGAGGGAATCTGATGTGGGTCTTGATCCCAGGACACTGGGATCATAACCCATGCCAGAAGGCAGACAACCACTGGGCCACCCAGGTGCTCCAAGAATAAATTTCTGCAAGAGAAGGCCCCTTCTTTTTTTTTTATTTCTTCAGGCCCCAATGCAGGGCCTGACCCACAACCAAGATAGAGGTCAAGACCTGAACTGAGGGATCCCTGGGTGGCGCAGCGGTTTGGCGCCTGTCTTTGGCCCAGGGCGCGATCCTGGAGACCCGGGATCGAATCCCACATCGGGCTTCCGGTGCATGGAGCCTGCTTCTCCCTCTGCCTATGTCTCTGCCCCCCTCTCTCTCTCTCTCTCTCTGACTATCATAAATAAATAAAAATTAAAAAAAAAAAAAAAAAGACCTGAACTGAGATTAAGAGTCAGATAATTAACCGACTGAGCCACCCAGGCGCCCTGGGAAAGGCCCCTTCTTAATATATATCTTTAGAGATTTTATTCTAGTTGTATAGCTCGGTTGTCATATGCACTGAATTTTTTCTTCTTTTAACATTACTACAAACACATAATAAACAGAAACCATGTAGAAAAGATAAACTAGTCATTACAGATTTAGACTACTTCCCACCTTCTAGGGGTATTATAAAGTTACTGTCTTAAATGTCATATTCTTAATATTTTTTATATGAAAACCTGTGGACTGTATAACTTGATAGAGCCTTGTAACATATGGGTGTTTAAAATTTTTCTCTTGCCTTGTCTGATACTTAGAAATTTAATGACCTTGGATCATAGTGAAGAGGTTTTGCTTTTACATTGGTTAGCTTACAAAACCAGCTGGTTTTAAGAAAAATCTCCGATTTCTAAAATCAATGAAACTATTTCCAGAGAAAAACAAAATGTTTGATATTTTATTGGCCAACTGGCCAGTATAATAAGCACATTTCCACTGTTTTAATAGCAAAACCATTAAAAAATGGAGTTTATATGAGTTATAAATAACAAAGTAGGAAATTTGATTGAAATGTGGTTATTTTTTTTCTTGTCTCTAAGTTCTTATTCCCTGATGCTGCTTCTGAGAAACCGTTAGATGGAAGTTCTTCCACAGACAGCAATAATCCTCTATCAGAGAGTGAAGAATATGTAAGTTGGAGTTTAATATTAAGATATTTAAAATGCTTTGAATTTATTTTTATTTTTTTAAAGATTTTATTTATTTATGAGAAGAACAGAGAGAGAGAGCAGCAGAGACAGAGACAGAGGGAGAAGCAGGCTCCATGCAAGGAACCTGATGTGGGACTCGATCCCATGACTGTGAGTTCACGACCTGAGCCAAAGGCAGATGCTCAACTGCTGAGCCACCCAGGCATCCCAAAATGCATTGAATCTAAGGGGTTGCTGTATTGCTAGTTTAGTAGCATAAGGACCTTTTAAATTTTTTATTTTATTTAAAAAATATATTTGAGAGAGAGCCTTTGTACACACTCTTGTGAATGGGGCTGGAGGGGGGGGACAGTGGGGGACAGAGGAAGAGAGAATCCTCAGTCAGACTTTCTGCTGAGCATGGAGCCCTATGTAAGGCTTCAGCCTAGGACCCTGAAGTCAAAAAATCAAGAGTTGGCCTTTTACCGACTGAGCCACCCAGGTGCCCCAAGGATCTTTTTACTTTAAAAATCACCTTATGAAAATTTGAGTAGAGCTCATGGCCTCCACTCAAATTATATGACCTGTTGTACCTAGTCAATTATATGTATTTTGGGTAGCAAGAACTTTTCTGGAAACAGTGAAAAAGTAGGTATATTGTGCATGATTGTAGGATTTCCCTCATTTTAGGCTTTCTGTAAAATTATCAGATTGATGTTTTGCAATAGATTCTTCTCTGTTTCAAAACTAGACAGTGACTGGAAAACTTTAATGAAGTGTAAAATGTGTAAAATGAAGTAAAATTTTCATGTATTCCTTATCCAAGTCTTTAACAAATTGAGAAATGAGATTTTTAAAAGACAGAGATAAATCAACTATTTTCAGTAGTTACTGTTGGGAAGTGGGATTTCATGAAATGAGGAAAAGCAGAAGCTATATATTTTCAGTTTATACAGTTCTAATTTTATGTTTCTAATTTTGATAAGTGTATACTTATTTATAATTGAAAATTTTTATCTTTTAAAGACCTTATTTATTTGAGAGAGTGAGCACAAGCAAGGGGAGCAGCAGAGGAAGAAACTGACTCCCCATTGAGCAGGGACCCCAATGTGGGGGGTTGATTTTAGAACCCTGAGATCATGATCCGAGCTGAAGGCAGCTGCTTAGCTGACTGAGCCACACAGGTGCCCCTAATGAAAAGTTTATTTTATTTATTTATTTATTTTTATTTACTTATTTTTTTAAAGGTTTTATTTATTTATTCATGAGACAGAGAGAGAGAGAGAGAGAGAGAGAGAGAGAGAGAGAGAGAGGCAGAGACACATGCAGAGGGAGAAGCAGGCTCCATACCAGGAGCCTGATGCGGGATTCGATCCCAGGACTCTGGAGTCATGCCCTGAGCTGAAGGTGGCGCTAAACCGCTGAGCCACCCAGGGATCCCCTGAAAAGTTTTTTAAAACAACACATTTGGAGTACATCTTGAAGATTCCACAGAAGAAATTGAAAGTTCTAACTTTAAGTTTTCTAAACTATAGCCTCAGTTTTTTGATCCTTGCAGATATTTTGAAAACATGGGGCTACCTAAGAACAATTTAGGCAGTAATGTATTAGACATTTGATAAAAGTTGGTTTGGAAGGATAGGTTAATTTTAGTATTAAAATTCCTCCACACAATTATTGATTATACCTGTAAATATGTTATTAACAAGTTTTGCTTTGTTTTTGCTTTGTTAAATTCAGAATCTCTACAATCAGTTCAAATCTGCACCATCTGACAGTTTAACATACAAATTGGCTTTGTGTCTTTGTATGATCAATTTCTACCATGGAGGGTTGAAAGGAGTGGCACATCTCTGGCAGGAATTTGTTCTTGAAATGCGTTTCAGATGGGAAAACAACTTTCTCATTCCAGGGTAATAATTTCAATTTCTGTTTGTATATGTAGGTTTTTGTTTGTTAGCATAATTAGTCTTTTGACCCATTAATTCTCCTCTTCAAAGAATTCTGCCCTAAGAAAGTGGTAAGAAACTTTGGGCATGATTTATATTCAGAGTGTTCATTGTAGCAGATTTATAATAGGGGAAAAAAAGTGAAGCAACCTAAGTACCAAACATAAAAGAATGACATCAATCATGATATATGTCCACAGTGAAAGTTACAGATTTTTTTACAAGTTTTTTCTTTTTTCAAGAATCTTTAATAACAAAAAAATGATCATAATATTTGGAGTAAGTAGAATGTTGTGTATAACAAGTGCTTTCAGTTTTACTGATCTATATTTATAGAAAAATAATTGGGAAGAAATAAAGCCAAATGTTAACATTTGACGTGTGTGAATTTATATTTTTATTTTGTTCTTTATACATTTGTATATTTTCTGAGCCTTCTGTAGTGAACGTAAATTTTTTATAGTTGAAGAGAAAACATTTTTAGAGTTTATAAATTCAGATATTCAATATTACTTGTAATTTTTTTTTTTGTAGAATGTATGTTGACGTTTCACTTAATGAAATAGAAGAGTTTAGTTACCATATATTTCAATATTTCCTGGGTTACTGCTGATCTACATATACTAAAGCAGAATTATGATACAAGTAATATAAAATGGTGATTGAGCCAAAAATATTTACTTTTATGTCATTTGCCAGTCTCTGCTTAGCTGGATTGTCTTTTGGCTGATTTTGGGGAATTCAGTGGTTTAGGACTAGAGGCATGTCAGGCTCCCCTTGGCAAAAGAGAGGTGGAAATAATGTTTTTTTATATTGAGAATTCACTATAATAATTGAGAACTGAGTATGTAATCTAATCTGTTTTGTATGATATGAAATACTGTATGCTAGCTACTTCCAGGGTTGGATTTAGGGACATTTTTTTCATTTTAAGTTCTGTTAACCTGAGAGCTATTACTAGTTTCCTATTATACTTTAAAAAATATATTTGCTATTGATGGACTTGGAAGATAAAACAAATTTTGGTGTTTTAGTTTTATTTGCTCCATCTCAGTTATCTTATATGTTGAAATCTAGATTTGATTTCTTATCAAACGGCTAAAATTTATGGTAGCATAAGAGATTTGCATATCTGAAGCCATTTTACTAAAACTTTCCCACTACTTTATTTGATAGATTAACAAGTGGACCCCCAGACCTAAGATGTTGTTTACTACATCAGAAACTACAGGTAAGGATTTCCCAATGACAGTATCTAAATAAGGTTTCAATTTAATGGGAGTTTATTCTAATACTAAATGTAATAATGGATTATAGGCTATTCTCATCGTGCTGCTGTAGTTTACTTGTGGTCACTGTCATTCACAACAGCGTCCAGGGAAGGGGGTGGACAAGGCAAATTAAATATTGAAGAGGTGGATAGATTTTTACTTTACTGTAACTAATTTAAATATAAATGTTACTTCTCTTTTCTTAAGATGCTAAATTGTTGTATTGAAAGAAAGAAGGCCCGTGATGAGGGGAGAAAAACAAATACTTCAGAAATATACTCAGGGGATACTGGAAAAGCTGGAGACCAGCTGGGGCCAGATAATCTAAAAGACATGGATAAGGAAAAGGGAGAGGTAGGAAAATCTTGGGATTCTTGGAGTGACAGTGAAGAAGAATTTTTTGAATGCCTAAGTGATACCGAAGAACTTAAGGGAAATGGACAAGAGAGTGGCAAGAAAGGAGGACCTAAGGAGGTGGCAAGTTTAAAACCAGAAGGACGACTACATCAGCATGGAAAACTCACACTGCTACATAATGGAGAACCTCTCTACATTCCAGTGACCCAGGTAGGATATCAACTGGCTCTTTAAGTTTTAGTTGTTTGGGTTTTTAAAAAATATTTTATTTATTTATTCATGAGACACACAGAGGCAGAAACACAGGTTGGGGGAGAAGCTTCTTAGTTTTTAGCAAATAAAACTAAAACACCAAAATTTATTTTATCTTCTGAGTCCTTCAACAGCAAATATATTTTTCAGTCAATATAGGACTCGATCCTAGGATTCCGAGATCATGACCTGAGCCAAAGGCAGATAGATGATGGTCAACCACTGAGCCACCCAGGTGCCCCAGGTTTTAGTTGTTTTTATTTTGTTGTTTATTATATCTTCATTCTAGTAGGAAACAATTGCTTTGGGTAGGAGTAATTCTTTAAATAACCTATGTTCAAAGATCTGAGATTTGTAATATAAATAAACTATTGGGTCTTTCAAGTATTTCTTTTCTGAAATTGAGAAATGTTTTGAAGTTTTGGTAGATAGTAGTTCATCATGGTTAAGGTGATCTGTTATTTCTTAAAATGAGTGGCGAGTACACAGCTGTTTAAAAGACAAAATCCAAAAATAGAGAAAGAATAAAAGTAAAAATTCTTTAATTTATATTAGTTTTATCTGTTCAAAGATATGGTTGGAAACCAGTTTACACCATTAGGAAAGAGAACATCAACAACTTGACACCTAAGGAAGAGCAGTAGTTTTGTTGGGTTGTTTTTGCATAAGTAATATGTGAATATGTTTTATTGTGAAAAATTCAGTCTAAAAAAAGTAAAAGCCACTGTCCACTAATTCAACTCTCATTTCTAAAGGTAATCATCATTGTGATTGATTTGGGTTATATTTTCTTATGTCTGTTACTGTACATTGATGTTCATACATGTATATACATATGATACATAGTTTTGTAGATTTTTGGTTTTTTGTTTAAGATTTTATTTATTTTAGAGAGAGAGAGCATGGTGGGGATGGGCAGAAGGAGGGAGAGTCTTAAGCAGGCTTTACTCACTCAGCTCAGTCCCACGACCTTGAGGTCACAACCAGAGCTGAAACCAAGAGTTGGAAGCTCAACTGACTGTGCCACTAGGAGTCTCTGTTTGTTTTTAAATTTGTGCATTGGTGTACAGCTTGTTTAACTATGATGTCTTGGAGATCTTTCTATGACATTACATGTAGATCTACTTTATTCCTTTTTTTTTTAATTTTTATTTATTTATGATAGTCACACACAGAGAGAGAGAGGGGCAGAGACACAGGCAGAGGGAGAAGCAGGCTCCATGTACCGGGAGCCCGATGTGGGATTCGATCCCAGGTCTCCAGGATGGCGCCCTGGGCCAAAGGCAGGTGCTAAACCGCTGGCCACCCAGGGATTCCTACTTTATTCCTTTTTAATTGCTATCTTACATTCTATGTCATAGAAGAGCCATAGTTTATTTAACCATTCCCTTCTTAATGCACAGTATATGTCATTTGCTAGTGTTTGCTATTACACGCTACAGTATAAATTCTTGTAGTTTTTCGCATATTGTGTGTTCACATTTGAATGTTTCTTAAGAAAGTAAGAAATGGATTTGCTGGATAAGCAGATGTACAAAATTCCTGTTCACAAAAGCTGCACCTATTTTACCTTCTGGTCAGTGGTTGAATATATAGGAATAAGGGAATACTGTACTTAGCTTTCCTTTCTCACTTTCTTCTTCACACAAGTCTGCCTTGAGTGCCTAATGTATGCCAATCACTGATCTAGAACTTGGGAATTTAGCAGTAAAGCAGATGGTAAGGTCTTACACTCATGGAACTTATATTCATATTTAATTTTTTATAAACAATTGGATATTATCAGTCATATACATTTTTATCAATATATGGACAAAAGTAGTATCTCAGTGTCTTAGATTGTTTTCCCTGATTTTTGATGAACTTAAGCATCATTCAGTATGTTTATTGGGTATTTTTTCTTTGACTTGCTTATCATTTTTCCTTTAGCTTACTGACCTGTTCTTCTTGATTAATATTAGTCCTTCATATTTTAGGTATAAATACATGTTTGTTATATATATTGTACATGTTTTCTTCTAGTCATTTAAAAGACATTTATTTGCTTGTTTATTGATTTTTAAACTATAAAGTGCACAGATCTTAAGTATACAGCTTGGTGAGTTTTCTCATATTTAAAAATTCAGGTAGCTACCATCTAGGTCAAGGTATGGAAAATTCCCATCATCCTAGAACAGTACTGATCAATAGAACTTGTTGTGAAATAGAAATGAACGTTTTCTCTCTCCAGTCCAGTATTATAGCCATTACCCATTTGTGGCCATTGAGTGCTTGAAATGTGGCTAATGCAACTGAGGAACTGAATTTCTTCTTTTAATAGATTCATTTAAATCTAAATAGCCAGGTGTATTGGATAGCATAGCCCAATACTCCCCTCCAGGTAACTTTTTTTCTAACTTTTTTCACCATAGATTAGTTTTGGAATTATGGAATTAAGGAAATTATATTCTGCTTACTCTTTGGTGTATAAATGGAATCCTACATTTCCTTCTCTTGCACTGAGCTTTTTAAACTACCATATGTGAGATTCATCCATGTTGTTATATAAATCTTATTTGTGTATTTTTTACTCCTTTGATGTGAAATGCCACAATTTGCTTATCAATTCACCTGCTAATGGAATTTGAATTGTTTATAGTTTGAGCTATTACACATATATGAGCATTCTTGCAAGTATCTTTTGGTGAACTTAGGCACTCATTTTCTTTTGTGTGTGTGTGTGTGTGTGTGTGTTTTAAGATTTTATTTATTTACTCATGAGCGACACGGAGAGGCAGAGACACAGGGAGAGAGAGAAGCAGGCTCCATACAGGGAGCCCGACATGAGACTCGATCCTGGGACTCCAGGATCATGCCCTGGGCCGAAGGCAGCATTAAACTACTGAGCCACCCGGGCTGCCCTTTTTTCAAGTTTTAATTAACAGTATTCATTATTTTTAGATTACTAGTTGCATATATGTTGTCTTGGTTTGATTGGGTTAATGAAGAGTTCAAGAAAGTTATTCTGGAAGCTCAAGCTTTATTTTTTTTCAAAAAGCTATACAAACCTCTTTCATTTTATTTTATATATTTTTTTATTTTTAAAAGATTTTATTTATTCATGAGAGACAGAGAGAGACATAGGCAAAGGGAGAAGCAGGAACTTGGTATCATGCCTTGAGCAAAAGTCAGACGCTCAACCACTGAGCCACCCAGGTGCCCCCACCTCATTCATTTTAGATGCTTCATTTTCTACATTCAAATTTATTATCTAAATCTTGAATAATTTTTTTTTTTAGTAGTTCTTTTTTTTTTTTTTTTTTTTAATTTACGATAGTCATACAGAGAGAGAGGCAGAGACACAGGCAGAGGGAGAAGCAGGCTCCATGCACCGGGAGCCCGACGTGGGATTTGATCCCGGGTCTCCAGGATCGCGCCCTGGGCCAAAGGCAGGCGCCAAATCGCTGCGCCACCCAGGGATCCCTAAATCTTGAATAATTTAAAGTTATTTTTTTCTCAGCATGCATCCTATGTATTTAAAAATTCATTTTTATATCTTACATTTAGACAAATCAGGCAGATTTTTAGTCTATTTTACTTTCATTAAAGTTAATCATACTTGAATTGTAATCATTGTATATGTACTTTTTTTTAATAGATTAATTTTTATTGGTGTTCAATTTACCAACATACAGAATAACACCCAGTGCTCATTCCGTCAAGTGTCCCCCTCAGTGCCCGTCACCCATTCACCCCCACCCCCTGCCCTCCTCCCCTTCCACCACCCCTAGTTCATTTCCCAGAGTTAGGAGTCTTTATGTTCTGTCTCCCTTTCTGATATTTCCCACACATTTCTTCTCCCTTCCCTTATATTCCCTTTCACTATTATTCATATTCCCCAAATGAATGAGAACATACACTGTTTGTCCTTCTCCGATTGACTTACTTCACTCAGCATAATACCCTCCAGTTCCATCCACGTTGAAGCAAATGGTGGGTATTTGTCGTTTCTAATGGCTGAGTAATATTCCATTGTATTATGTATATGTACTTAAATAAAATGGTTGGAATTCAAAATGATTCCAGTTGAAACACTTAAAATTTCACACGTTAGAAGTTAGCTTAAAATGTGCCATTAATCAATTGCCCACTTTATATACACAAAAATAAGACTTTATGTAGATCCTTGCTCCATAAGAATTTAAACAGTTTCATATTTCTTTCATGTAAACTTAGTTCAATCTAGAATTTATGTCTTGGAAAAGCTTAGACTTTACCTAGTGTTTCTAGAGCCAGGCCTAGAAGAGAAACCTGTGGAGAATCTGTTAGAGCAAGAGTCCTTAACCAGTAGATTGAACCAAACTAGTAGTTCTCAAAGTCAGCTTCAGGTAGATGTTTGAGATTCTCTCTTCAGTTTGACATGTGGTAGTTTTGCAACTTGATTTTGAGTAAGGCACTTATCTCTTTACCTCAGTTTCATCAGTTGTAAAATACTCTGACCTCAGTGATCACATGGCATCATGTATATGATAAAGCTTTGGGCATATTTAGAAGTGGTAGCTTTGAAAGTGTGTGGTCCTTGGCTACTTGCTGCTTATATTCCTCTTAGTCATATTCTTCTTTACTTATAGTTGGCCTGAGATTTCCAGGTAGGAGGGTTATCAGTATCTTTTCAGTGTCCTGTTCCTTTCCTGTCATCCTGAGATTTCAAGGCTATAGGAAAATGAAAAGTAGCTCCTTCCTAGTGAAAAGACTGAAGGCCTCTGCTCTTGTCACCTCTTTATTGGGGGTTTATCTAATTTTTAAATTTGTGATATTTTTATATCAGTGTGAAGCTTATAATTTAAACCTAAATATTTTGTCTCTAATTGCTAGCATTTACTGAGTATGTGCCAGGACTTTTTTCTTGACAAGAAAGAGTCACAGAAAGTTTGTGCGCCCAAAGACACAGAGCTGGGATTCAAACACACACCTTGTTTCTAGAGCCCAAGCTCTTAACTATTGTGTCATATTGCCTTACTGTTATTCAACTCTATCAGTGTGAGACTTTAAGCTTGATGCATGTTCATTGTACAGAAAAGGAAACAAAAACTCGTAATTCCATAATCTACAGATAATCACTATTAGAGCAGTTCCTTTCCATTTTTCCTGTATTAAACAATTTTCCTATCACTATACATTCAAGTCTTTCCAATTCTCACACATTCTAAGTAATGCTATAGTGCTATTTCTAGAAGTAGATGATTGGGTCAGAGGGCATGATCATAAATGCCAATATTGATTCCCAGATTGTCATCTAGAAAAGCTTATACATTATATTCTCTTCAGCAGTGTGTGAAAGTGCCCCGTTTAGATTTGTTACAAAAATGAAGATGATAGAAAGTTACGTTTTTTTGTTTGTTGCTCTGTGTTTTGAATATCTTAGCTTTACCATGCTCCTACTTTATTTTTGACAGGTTATTTGTGAAAATTATTTATCTTAACGACAGTGGTTCTCAACTAGGGAGTGATTTTTTGCCCCCAGGAATGTTTGGTGATGCCTGGGAACATTTTTTATTGTCATGAGGTGGAGTAGTGCTATAGGCATATAATAGGTAGAGGCCATAGACACTGTTAAACATCCTACAGTGCATAGGACAGCCCACCGCAAAGAATTATCCAGTCTAAAATGTCAGTAGTGCTGAGGCTATAAAACTCTGCTTTATAGTTCTTAAAATCTAGAAGGAAAGTATTTATTGGCAAGATGCACTAAACACTTCTTCTGGGCTTTATCTTATTATCTAGGAATAGAAAAGTCCATGGTTGTTGTTGTTTTTGTTTTTGTTTTTGTTTTTGTTTTTTTTTTGGCTTTAACAATGAAGCAGGCAAGCTTTCTTTGGTTAGTCTCTAGATTGTTGAGTGCTTCATTTCAAATATAAAATTGAATGGAATCAATTCTTAGAGAACTTTCCTAAGCCCCTTTGAACAGTTTGGAATGTTTTCTGTCACTCTCATAATGATTCTACAGTTATATCTTCCTTTAGATTTGCCTTAGCTTCTTTTTTATCTGGGGTTACCATTAACATCTATAATATCTCTGATTATTAAAAATCCAAAAACCTCTGGTGGGAATTAATAATTAGAGTATCTTTGGAACCTGAACTCAAAAGCAGCTTTTCCAACATAAAACTTAATTATTTGGGGTCTTTTAGTTGAAATTCAATTAATTTGCCTTTATTTTAATTTTCATATTTATCAGTTTTTTCCTTTTGTGAGTTACAGTAAAAACATGGTTGTAACTAATGATGGCATATATAAACATATCATTAGGACTTCCCTTCTTATCATTAATAGGCTGGAAAATGTTCAGTGTACCCAAATTCCTCTGTCTTTTATTAATCCTTATCAAGGGAAACATAATGTTAATTGTGGGGAGGGGGATGCTGAGAGTCATATTTATTATTAATTTGTTAATTTTGTATGTAGATTCCAAAAGACTGGTGAATTTCTTTGAATTTTTAAAAATATAGATCTTGTGACTGCTAGAGCTGGTATAATTGTTGTCTTCATTCCTATTTTTATACTTCTGCTTTTTCTAAAAAAAACAAAAAAGCTGTTCATGAGCTTTGTCCTTTTGTGCTTCATAGGAACCAGCACCTATGACAGAAGATCTGCTAGAAGAGCAGTCGGAGGTTCTAGCTAAATTGGGTACATCAGCAGAAGGGGCTCACCTCCGAGCACGCATGCAGAGTGCCTGTCTGCTCTCAGATATGGAATCTTTTAAGGTGGGTCACACTGTCAGAGTTTGGGAGTCTATTTTGAGCTATTCTGGGATGAAGCTGTGAAAGTCACTCTCTAAAGTGGTGTGAAGGCCTGAATGTCTTTTTTATTAAACGTTTTGGTTTCTCAGTAGTTACAACAACCTACATTTATCTCCTAAAGGTCATAGTCAGACTTGCTTCTTAATTTAAAAGAAAGGAACAATCTTTGAATAGTAGTTGAAAGTTGAGAATTGAATCATTTCTGTATATGCATTGGGATGTTTCTCTCTTTTGTGTGTGTTTAAGCTGTGGCTTTTAGGAAACCCTTAGGATTTGACATAAGCTGTGTCATTCAACAAACCTTTTGATTGCCTACTCTGTGACTTGCACTGTGATTAGATAAGTAGGAAATACAATGTTTATCCTCAATTATAGTCTATTGAGGTTTTGGAGGGGGATAGGTAAATAATTATGTGATGAGTTCACTTGTGAAGGCAATGTCAAAAAGGTGACTGAGTATGCTGTGTGGGTCATGGAAGGTTTCTCAGAAGAATCACCATTTAGGATGAGTAGGCATTTGCTACCCGGAGAAGAACATTTAACTTTAATTATAAGGCCTGTATTAGAACATAGAGGATTCAGAGAATGGTGACATTTAGCTTATTAGCTTAAAAACCCAGAGATGAAGAAAAGTCTTTTATTTTCAAATTACTTATTCTTGAAAGATGAGGTAAAGCCATGTATATTAAAAACAACAACCACAAAACAACCAAGTAGGTAGTCGGCCTTCCTTGTGCCTCTTGCTGCTACTCTGAACTGTCTCCCATGCCCACATTTTCCTCCTTGACCTGCTGCTACCTGTGATGGCCTCCATCTCCCCATACCCATAGCCTCCAGTCAGTCCTGCTTTTGTGCTCTATGCCAGCCTGAGTTTGATTTTTTCAATATCAATACCCTGTGAAAACCTATGTCACTTTTATCTTCCCTGTTAGCAGATTTTAGTGACAGTAAAAGGAAATGCTTTTATTCTCTGCTTATTTCCCCCATCTTTACCAAAAGAAAAAAGTGTCTTCAGTAAATCTCTTGAGAGGTAGGTACATGTTTTTCATAGAGACTAAAAAGATACGGGAAGCCTATGAATTTTGTTCTGCCATGAGACAAGAAAGAGAGACATATTGTTTTAAAACAGATAGTTGGTATAGTGGTTAAAGAGAAGACAGTTGGCTCTCAGGGCATGTGTTAAATCAAAAAGGTAGAAAAGGGTGTATATGCATAGTGGGACCTCTGCAGCAGCTGTATTCCTACCTGACCTCTAACTGCCTTCTTATTTATCTATCCCTGTCCTGCTACAGCATTCTTTACAGAGACAGCAGAGGAAATTACAAATTGGAACTGTAAAAGTTTTCCTTATAGAAACATTTTGGCTCCTCATGGGAAGGTTCTGTATAATTCCAACACTACCTCAGCAAAATTGGGTTCATTAGACTCTTTTTAGACTAACTTGAGTACCTACAGATCTCTTAAAACATTGGTTTTTTTTTTAATATTTATTTATTTATGATAGACATAGAGAGGCAGAGACACAGGAGGAGGGAGAAGCAGGCTCCATGCCAGGAGCCTGACGCGGGACTTGATCCCGGGACTCCAGGATCGCGCCCTGGGCCAAAGGCAGGCGCTAAACCACTGAGCCACCCTGGGATCCCCTTAAAACATTGTTTTAATGAGAAGATTGTATTTCAAATAACCAGCTTATACATCTGCCTCTGCCTGTGTGTGAATCAGTTAATATATTTAAGGAAATACAGTCACTCTAAAATAAACATGCAAAAAAAAAAAATAAACATGGTTGCCTTTCCCTTTTATATAGGGCTGATTTGTTGTTAGGGGCCTTAGGAGAGTCTGCAAAGCTTTGGATGAGTGCTGATATGTACTGCGGTACCGACAACTCGGAATTCCAGAAGGATAGGGCCTGTTCTTGAGCATGCCCTTGGAGTACATTCTTGTAATGGTAGAAAGAAGATAAGCCATAGCTGAAGTGAGCCTTGACCCTCTCCTGGTAGCTGTATGTTCAGTCTGGTACAGTATGCCTAGGCAGAAGGAAGAATTTTTGTAGGAAAGGTTTTTTTTTTTTTTTTTTTTTAAACTTCTGTGGTACAGGAGTTCAGTATTATTTTCTTTAAATTCATTCTCTTTTCTCAAGGTCTGTCTCAAGTTCCTAAGATGTGTTTATGTGGGTATGGTGTTGCCTGATCAATATCCAGTTCTTTGTACATGAATCCTGAGTCATGCAGCAATCTTGATCCATTGCTGTTCACAGCATTTTTTTGTTGTCATGATGCCATAGTCCTTAGAAATTTATGTTGTTGACTCTCAGTTAAGGACTTCCTTTGAGTCTTCATCCTTCAGGGGGATTTCCTAAATTGTTAAGGATGGTGAAGCTGATAGACAATAAGCTCAATGAGGAGAAAAGGGCAGTTTTGCACCTCACATTTAAGACTGACTTTCTTATATCCATTTTCATTTTGGTCAGAGGTTAATTTAAAAAAGGAAGAAAGTGATCTGCTTATTAGCACTTCCTTGTTAATGTTTATATTACTTAACTATTTTAGGCAATAAAATAGTTCTCAGCAGAAAGTATATGTTGTGGTAGAGAATTTAACCAAAAAGGCATGTGTTTAATGTGTGCACACATCCTTTGAGTGTGTGTGTCAATGTATGTGTATCTAACTCCATCCTTAGTACTCTACTAATACATCACTGGACACTTGGCAAAAAGACCTCCATGCCTTACTAACACTGTGAAGCCTCTACTTTTTTTTTTTCCAGGCTTGAATGTAGAAATACTTAATGAATTTTGGCATGTATCATCATTAATTCTATAGATTTACCCACTAAATAAAAGTTTAGTTAGTTGGTTTCAGAAACCTGAAAAGCAATAGTTTGAATTCTAATTCCTTACCAGGACAAAAGCAGTTTATGTGATGGTAATTTGTTATATAAAGCACAATAATGTGATGACTGAATAAAACATTTCTGAAGTTCACTGATACTTATTGCAGTGCCAGTATTGATTTATTGAGGGGAAAAAAGCAGTAGAACTTTTCTTTTATTGCATTATTATTCTTTTCATGTTGTGTGTTATTTAATTACTTGAGCTTATTTGATACTTTTCCTAGTATTGAGTAGTTACTGTCTTATAATTTTAAACTAACTTATATAACTTATAATACACTTAAGAGAATTATTTTCATTTCACATCAATTTTTTATTTCTAAGTTCATCAAATTTTTCTTTTTCTGTAAAATGGAGACAGTGAAAGAAAATGCTTTGGTACTTTGAACATCTGACCTGTTTTAAAGAAAATATCCAAACTCATGTCACATATTAGATTTTGTAAAGATTAGATAAGCATTTTGTGAAAGTATGATTTTGTGAACCGGTTTATCACTAACTGTTGATTTTTATTTGATTCTGCTGAATTTTTTTGCCATATTTTAGGCAGCTAATCCAGGTTGTTTTCTGGAAGATTTTGTGAGGTGGTACTCACCCCGGGATTATATTGAAGAGGAAGTTGTTGATGAAAAGGGCAACATGGTTCTGAAAGGAGAACTGAGTGCCCGAATGAAGATTCCAAGCAATATGTGGGTAGAAGCTTGGGAAACTGCTAAGCCAATTCCTGCTAGAAGGCAGAGGAGACTTTTTGATGATACACGGGAAGCAGAAAAGGTAACTGAGGTTTGAGTATCTAATACTAGAAAGCTAACTATTGTTCCAGCATTTTAAAAACTCACTATAATAGACGTGAAACCTTTGGATGTACTTGAGAAGTAAAGCATTGAAATTTAATGGGCCTTTTATGTATCTGCTATTCACATTAAAGATTTTAGAACTAGTTGCAAATAGGCCAGAGAATAAAATGTGTATATATAGAATACTTATCATTGGACTGTCTTATGGTATATGTCAAAAGCCTTAAAGATGGTCACATCTTTTGACCTAGCAGTTCTACCACCAAAAATTTATTAAGAAAATAAGAAATACATTAAGATTTATGTATAAGAGCAAGGTTCAGCAAAGTTTTCTAGTGAAAAAGTAGATATAACAAAAGTTTCTAAGATAAGTCTTCATTCAAAAACTTACGGGATAATCATTTGGTGGACTGCTTTGTAATTATTAAACATTTGGAGTTCTGGAGAATAGTGACAGCCATCTGATAAGAAATTGTCCTACACACTCTCCTACCCGGGTCCCCCAAAACTCCATGAAATTAGTAAGAAAATTAATCTATGCCTTCAGCATTACTAAGATACATGGAGACTATAGTGACCTTCAAATTAACTTTGAGAAATAAGCCAAATTTCAGTGGAGTTCCTAGTGCTGTAAGCCTGTGTGCAGAGACTGGGGGCAGGGAGTCTTAAGAAGAAGAGCTGAGGGATATAGAAGACTTAGATGGAGCACAGAGTCATCCCAGAAGGAGAGATCATAACATTAATACTCAGTTCAAAATACTCAGTGCAGGTTTAACTTAAAGGGATTTGAAGGGGCTTGAAGTGGGGAAGAATACAAGTGGACACTCTGAGAGACACTGCCTTGGGAACAACCAGTTACATAGAGAAGGAATGATATGGCTTTGAGATAAAGGAATGATGGGAAAAAAGGAATACGGGGAAAATTAGGGATCCTGCAGAAACACAAGAGAAATAAGACCTATCAACCTTCATTACCCCCACCCCAATCCATTAAAGAAATGGTACAGAAGAGGGCACTTTTAAACTGTGGCATGACTAGGATTAGTAAAGAGCAGACCATATCCATATAAAACTACTATTTAAAAATAGCAGAAAATGCAGAGTTGATTATTTCAGCTAATGAAAGCATTTCCCAGAAAATTGACCATGATGCGGAAAAAAATTGTAATACTCCATGAGGTTACATTTCCTCAAACCAGCATGGGGGATATGAAAAATCATATTATCAGAAATACTTAAACTAACAGCTGAAATGGACCAAAAAACCCCACAAAGAAATGAAACCACAACTGATTTACCTCAGGATAGAAGGAGAAGAATAAGATAACCATATCAAAAATAAAGACTAAATTACAAAGGGCCCAAAGGAGAATAGATTTACATTTAAATTTAGTAAAAGGCATCAAGGAAAAGCAGCAAAAGCAGCCAGGAGAACAAAAATGGATGATGAGTAAAAGGAGTTGAAGAGAAGCTAGTAGAAGTTGAAGGATAGGAAAAGTAAGAATAATATTCATTTTATCCATCTTTGATGAAGAAAAACCAAAACACTAGAATAGAACTACTATTTGAAACTGCAATCCAAGAAAACTTTCTGGAAATAAAAGAAAACCAGAGTTTGCATATTGAAAGGGCTCGTTCACTGGGTGCAGGCGAAAATGCACCATAAATAATGAACTCCAAAATAAATCACTACAAAACTATTAGAACTTAAATATTTAAAGGAAAAAAGATTCTCGGAACTTTTGGCAAAAGATGAAAATAACTTAAGAGGGAAAGAGAGGCAGGCAGGTGTCAGATTTCCCAAAAGCAAGGGAACTTTTAAGACATGTAAGCAAAAAGTACAAACCAAAGATTTATATCTCACCAAGGTGTCCAAATAAGGCTCTAAGAAAATTTTCTCTGAGGTTTTGCACATGCAAATTTTTGTTCACATGCACCCTTTTTGAGGAATCCACTAGAGTTGCCCTAATAGAACTTTCTGTGGTGTTAAAAACATTCTATAGCTGTGATGTCCAAACAACTAGTGGCCATATGTGGATCTAATGAACACTTGAAATGTGGCTAATATACCATAGGAACTGAATTTTTAAATGGCTGCATGTGGCTAGTTGCTGCCTTATTAAACAGCATCATATAGGAGGATGAACTTGATCTAACCAAAATATAACTGGAGAAACTTTGGCAAAAGACCAATGGTGAGCATTTAATTTTTTAAGTTTTAGAACTAAGACTAAAACTAGGTGAGGATATGGGTAGAAGAATATGTAAATATTGTGTATTAGGACAAAGTAGAATGCATCTAAAAAGTTGGGACAAAAAAAGGAGAGAGAAGAGGGGAAAGTAGAATGAGATCACTGACTTACATAGATAATAGGTGGTGATCAGAGGATACCATTTAAAATTGTCAGACCAGATTATAAAACACTTAAAGGGAGGGAATTAAGGGACAGCATAAAAAGTATTACCATGGAGATACCTACTAGAATAAAAATATAAACCTTTACTACTGGCAGAGTTTTGTAGAAAGCAAAGAACATACACCAAATAGAGAAACACACATGATAACAATCAAGTACAGGATAGTAAGTTATATAAAACCCAACTCCACTACAAACCAGGGCTTCAGTGATTCAAAAAGGCTACAAAATCAGAATGGATAAAATAAAGATAAGAAATAACAAGTGTTGACAGGATGTGGAGAAAAAGGAACCCTCATACACAGTTGGTGGGAGTGCAAATTGGTACATCCACTGTGGAAAACAGTATGGAGACTCCTCAAAAAACTAATAATAGAATTAACATGCAATCCAGTAATTACCCTACTGAGTATTTACCCAAAGGAAATGAAATCACTAATTTTAAAAGATGGCATGCAACCCTATGTTTATGTGGCATACTTTTCAACAGCTAAGATATGGAAGCAACCAAGTGTCTATTGAGAGATGAACGAATAAAGAAAGATGATGTTATATATATATCTACAGTAGAATACTACTCAGCCATAAAGAATGAACTCTTGCCATTTGCAACAACATGGATGGACCCAGAGGATGTAATACTGCGTGAAATAGGTTAGAGAAAGACAAATACTCATATCATTTCGTGCATATATGGAATTTAAGAAACAAAACAAATTAAGAGGAGAGAAAAAAAGCCCTAGATTCTTAACTATAGAGAACTAATGGTTGCCAAAGGAAAGATGGGTGGGATTGAGAGTAAAAGGTTAAAGAGGATTAAGAGTACTTCTCTTGATGATTACTGAGGAGTGGATAGAATTGTTGAATCACTATACTGTATAACTAAAACTAATATAACACTGTATGTTAGTTATGCTTAAAAAAACTAATGAAATAAAATACATAGAATAGAAATAGGATCAGGGTAAGGGGATAGCCAAATTATTCTTTCAGTTTTCTGCCAATGTCTAATTATATAATTAAATTTTATTTTATCACACATACAAAAAGAAGGTCACAAATTAACCCTGGGCAAAGACTTACTAGGTACATGAAAGCAATAAAGAAAGCAGGTGTTATGATCCTAATACGAAATAAAGTATAATTGAAGCAAAAAAGCATTAAATGACACAAAGATTCTTTATAATCTTAACGTGGTATTTCTCAGTGAGGATACAAGATTTGTTAATGTTTATACACTAGATAACACAGTAGCCATCTATAAAAATAGGAAATCACAGGAGAAAGGGGAGAATCAGATTGAAACACACTAATAACAGGATGTTGAACAAATTCCTCTCAATACAGGACAGTCAAGTAGACAAAACTAAGGAAAGATCTAAACAAGATAATAAGGTTCATCTTTTAAATATATCTCAAACACTACACCTTGACAGTAGAGACTATACCTTCTTTTCACACACACGTGGAAAATTCACAAAAACTGATAGTATATTAGGGCCCAAAGAGAACATCAGCAGGATTCATAATAGAAATATAACCAGTACTATGATGATCTCTGCAATAAAACTAAGGATTAAAAATAATACAACAGCAACAAAAAACTAGGCCTTCTACCTGGAAATATAAAAACCTTAGTTAACTCTTGGGTAAAGGAGAAATACTAAGATTTCTGAAAAATAATGCAAACACTACATATCTGAACCTCTAAGATATATTTTAGGAGTGATCAAAGGAAAATCCATAGATCTAAATACTTGCATCAAGAAGAAACAAAAGAGGGGCACCTGGGTGGCTCAGTGGTTAAATGTCTGCCTTTGGCTCAGGTCATGATCCCAGGAGTCCTCGGATTGAGTTGCACATCAGGCTTCCTGTAGGGAGCCTCCCTCTGCCTCTCTGTCTACCTCTCTCTCTCTGTGTTTCTCATAAACAAATAAAAAAATCTTTAAAAGACAAGAAAAATAGAAGAATGAAAATTATTGAATTAATAAATTTCTAATTCAAGAAGTTAGAGAAAGAACAAAATAAAACCAAAGAAAACAAAAGGAAGGCAGAGATAAAGATAAAAGTGATGAAGTAGAGAAGGAAAAAAACCTGATTAGTCAATCTGGTTTTATTTGAAAAAATAGATACATGGTTGATTGCTTTAATCAGAGAGGGAAAAGCATGCATATACCAAATAAGAAATGACAAAAAGTGCCAATAACTACTGATACGGAGGAAATAGTTAAAAAAAAAAAAGACCAATACTTTGTATGATTCTGTATATAAATTTGTATAAATTTGAAAACCAAATGAAATGGATGCTTAGAAAAATGCAGTATATCAAAAATGACTAAAGACAGAAAATGTAAACAGACCAGTTTCCATAGAAGAAATAGACACAGTTATCAAGAAATGACCCCATAAAAAACCACCAGGCCTACATGGTTTCACAGAGGAATTCATCTAAATGTTGAGAGACCAGATATTCCCAGTGCTGCTTAAATTGTTTCGGTATATAGCAGTCGGAGGAAATTTCCCAACATCTTTTTTTTTTTAATTTATTTATTCATGACAG